TGTAAGACTGTCTTTGGGAGAGAGAGTCTGAAAAGGCCAATTAAGCTTACTGGCCTGTCTCGCCATTATATATGGACACAAAATTTACACACAGGAGCAATATATATGTATATGTATAATATGTACATATCACGTGTCCATCACCACCGTTTGATTTTACTATGGGTTCAGAAATCTGGGTACGATTTCCACCGTCCGATCCTAATGAAAGGGTGGGTTGACTTTTTGACAAACAGCGGTGGGGACGGGCATGGTTGGGAAAACTTGGAACAGGAAAGCTCTGACTTTGAATTAGTGGAATGACCAAAATACCCTCTTTGGTTTCCTTAATTACTCCATTTTAATAATGCATACTTCAACTCTATTAAGGAAAATAAAGAGTGGCTTATGTCACGTTAAGGGACTCTTTCGTCATTATGAGAAACGAAAGGTCAAAAATTCTACACCGACGCATTTGATTAGCATTAGAGAAAATTAAAAAAAAATTAAGTAGAGGTTTCTTAGTCATTAATTATAATTTACAAGATTAATTAATCAAATACAGTTACTAGTTGACGGTGTAGATAGAAATGGGCTAATGTACAGATTTGAATTTTTGAGGTTTGTTCAATAGGGGATGCAACACGTGAATTGAGATAATTGAAACGTTTCTTAGTATGATCAGAGTCAGACTATTAAAATAAAATATTTTTTAAATTAACAAAGTTTATATAAATAAAGTGGGAAAGGACTGGTAATGTAGTTATCAGTTTCCATGTGAATTATTTTTATAAAAATTTACAATATAGTCAAAAAAATGTATTCGAATTAAAAAATATTAAATAAAATTAAGTTTTTTTAAAAAAAAAAATCAATTAAAATATAATATAATATTAGAGATTTGAGATCCCGTAATTTAATATAATATACTTTTACCAAAAGAGAATAAAAAAAAAAAAAAAAAAAGAAAGGGGTTTTTAATGTGTGAGCCACTATTGAAGTAGCTTCTTTTATTGCAAGTCATGTATGGAAGTCATTTATTCATGTTCCAAATGATGTAATGTTGAATCTATGGTCTTTTATAAGTTGAAAGGAGGAGAAAGAAAATATACATATGTATGTATGTATTATTTATAAAGTTTTTGAAGTTAATAATAATAATAATTTTTAATTGATTTGTATTTTATTAAATATTATAGTATTACACATACAAATGTTTTATGATATAGAAAAAAACAAACAATTAATTATAAAATATTGTAATTTTATCCCTTAATTTGAATTATTTCAGCATAAAGTAACGGGGTAAGAACTTGAATTTTTGCTCACTCGTTCACATTAAACGTATAATATATGAAATAACAAGTAAAATATTTTGTATAAATAAGTACGTAGGCTGATATA